GACGACTACTGCTACTGCTACGGCTACTGCTACTGCTATCGCTACTCGTACTCATACTCATACTCCTGCTGTTCTTTGTACTACTACTACTACTACTACTACTACTACTACTATTACTACTACTACTCCTGCTGCTGCTACTACTACTACTACGACTACTACTACTACTACTACTACTACTACTTCTACTTCTACTTCTACTTCTACTTCTACTTCTACTACTGCTACTACTGCTGCTGCTACTACTACTACTACTACTACTTCTACTTCTACTTTTTCTGCTACTCCTACTGCTGCTGCTGTTACTGCTGCTTCTGCAGCTGCTGCTGCTGCTAGTGCTCCTAGCAACCAAGAATTTGTTCATATCCACGAGATACAAGCTCGAAACGACAGAAAAATTGAACAAAGTACCCAAGGCTCGGTGGCTGGAGCGTGCTGCGGCAGAGCTCCATGCCGAGTCGCGGTACTCAGGTGGGGCTGTGCGCCTCAGATCTTTGCGTTTTGGGCTTCCGTGCAGAAATTTACAGTTTTGTGGTAGGCCCGGTATGCTGTGTCCCTGGCAAGAGGAACTTAGTAACAATGACTTGATACAGCCGACAGTAACAGTATCAATAAGAGGAGTGGTGATGTTCGTCGTGACTGTTCGTCGCAGTAGTGATTGAGTTGTAGTTGTAGAAAGCATCAAGACTTGTTTCCGCTTTTGAAACTGGCCTCATGTGATCTGCAGATGGGTGAGTCTCGTTGCAGCATGTGTTGATCCCGAGTAACCGAATACACGGGTTGGGGGACAAAGCGACAAGATGTTATTGATGAGGGCTTGTCGCTCATGAAAGACCAGCAAGGGCGCTCTCAAATCGCATAATCGCAGAATATCCGGCAATTCGAAAGCTTGCCCGCCCACCTAGTCCAGAGCAATCCACTTAGTTTCTTGTTACACACTGGGCATTTCTTCTTCTTCGTGCAGTGCTGCGGTGAACGCTTTCTCCTAGACAGACGGTCGACGTTGGCAAGTCCCACGCATTTGATGCAGTTCTTGTAGGCACGTGTACTCTTCCAAGATTGAATTCTGGGTCTCTTCGTCGTACCCTGAACTCTCATTACCGAATAATTAACTATTGCCACGCTTGCTTCCGTGGCTAGGGGCAGAGCCATGAAGCCACATCCTAAGCTTCACTCGCAGCAACCATAAAGGTTGCTCCGATCGATTGTTGGCGTGCTGTGAAATTAACCGGCAGGTGCGAGCTTCGTCCGTGCAGCGGCAGAAGGAGGTCCCCGACACAAGACATGCTTCAGTATGCATGCTGCACCAAGCCCTGCCCACGAGGCACCATTCGAGACTCCTCGGCGTGTCGCAGAGCGCGGCCAGTGGGGGCACCCTGCTGCAGTCCTTCTTACACTTCCCGCTTCTGCAAGCATTTGCAAATCGGACCAATTCGCAACGGCGGCAACAGTGGCTACACGTCGGTCGAGCTGTTGAAGTGCCTGCAATGATCAACAGTCGTAGGCTGCAGCTTCACAGCAGCAAGGTTCCGTCCTCCTCCTCGAACTGCTGCCGAGCCGGTGACGGCGTCGAGCAAAGGCGTACTGATAACGGAAATCAAGTGCAGAGCATCAGACCTCACACCGGATGTACAGTGACCATCATGGCTTTTCGAAAGTGTAGGCAGAAGTCTGTCACGCGAAAAGTTGGGCCGATTTCAGAGTCTTGACTTTCGCAGCGCATTTCGACATTTGGACTTAGACGCTTCAAGAGCGAATCGCCTTGTTCGGCAAAGCTTGCTTCAGAGTTCTATGGCTCCAATTTCGCAGTTGGGCTTCGATTGTGAGAGAACCTGTCTCTCGGTCAGCCTTCTTGAGAATACCGGAGCACGTGGCCACCCGTGTGTTTTCCGTCGTCTTTGCCTTTGTCTTTGTTGTTGTTTGTCGTTGTCGTTGTCGTTGTCGTTGTCGTTGTCGTTGTCGTTGTCGTTGTTGTTGTTGTTGTTGTTGTTGTTGTTGTTGTTGTACAGGGCTGTCTTTCGTTAGGGGCACCTCGAGCAAAGTTGACAGGCCGGCAGTGCAGCTCGAAAGTCCACCGCAGTTCAGCCGAGCACTGAGCCACGAATCACACCGCCGACATGCCTGGACGAGGGACTGAATTGAGCTTGAGCCTCACGTTATGTTGCGGGAAGCTACAGCTCCAGTTTCGGCCAGATGTCGGGCATGAAGCCTTTCCAAGCGAGGTGTTATTGTGGCCGTTGTGTCAGGGTGGCATCAGAAGCTATGTGAAGCACTGCTCACAGTCCCACTTCCGCGGCATGCCACGGCCATTCGGCCCGAGTTGAGCAACTTTACACGGCAGAGCTCGGCCCAGGCACGACAAGAGGGAGGATGTGTGGTTCGGCGCTTGGTTCCAGTCTGCTCACCGGAGAAGATAGTACTGATCGATACTGCAGGACGATGGAAATGTTCTTGAACCGTCTTTGATGGTTTTCACCAGATCAGTTTCTTTTGACGAGCTATATCTCCTCTTCAGGTGCACAGCGGGGCAATGAAGAGAAGCGGTGCGCCCTTGGACTCCACAACAATGTGTCATCTGTACATCATGGCTATCTATCTGCATCTATGTGTGCATGCATGCATTCTGTGTGTGTGTGTGTATGTGTATGTATATGTATATGTGTATGTATATGTATACAATGTATATGTGTATGTATGTATGTATGTATGTATGTATGCATGTATGCATGTATGCATGTATGAACATATGTATGTGCTATATCCATATTACGTATGTGTACGTATGTATAGATGTATATATATATATATATATGTATATATATATATATATGCAAAAGTATACATGCACGTGTGGGTGTGTGTATATATACATATGTGTTTGCATATACAAGTATATATCATAGGAATACACCCTATCGTGACCTGACCTGAATCCTGACCGCTCAAATGAGCTTCCCCCATCCCCGATAAGCAGGAAGTGAGCCACGATCGCGCGGATCGGGGCCGGCCCGCTGGGCATAACCTACACTGAGATCGGCACTCATGTAGCTTTCTGGCAGATGTTGGGCGTTTCGAGAATCTTGGTGGTGTTGGCAACTCGGAATCTTCAAGTTGCTGTTGGTTGCTTTCGTAGTCTGATGTACGTATTCGGTCATCGTGTAGCGGTTGCATGGGAGATCGGGATGGCCTGATGCACATTCCTGTGGCAACAGTTCGAATTCAACGCACCGGTCCTGGCTGACATTGGTTCAAAGTTCGAAGCGCTTTGCGGAACTGAACTAGGCGAGCCCCTTCTACTTGCCAGTGAAACCCAATGATCTATACTAGTTGGTTGGTCGCACACCGATTGCGCTATGCTTTCGTGCGTTCCCGCCATCTGATGACTGCTTCACGTCCTGTCGGAATACGCGCGTCCATGCCCGAACCGCAGTAACGTCCACTAAGACCCCATCCATTTACCGATGCGCGTTGACGATTCCATGCTCATAGAATTTCTTGAGAAGGAACTGTTTTCCGGCATCTTCGACTAACGACTTTTACCCCGAAATAGTGCTAAGTACATTCTATGTCTGCAAACCCACAGGGCAAAGTACATGCCCGCGACCTGGTTACTAGTCGGTGGCACGCGCACAGATTGCCCTGTCAAAGGTTCTGGGGGGGCTTGGGGGAGGGGAGGCGAGGGTGGTTACTTACGTTCCACGGCTAATGCGTCCGCTTGGGCTGTCAGTGAGGGAAGACGTAGAAAAAACCCTGCAGTGGGAGTCCATTGCATCGCTCCTGAAGAACAGTGCTAAACCTGGCTTGCGGGCGTGTCTATTACCCGGTGCCATGGCTTGCCTTACTGACATACCGTGAACATGGGCTCACCTAGCCAACCCACCTTTTCGCGAAAGCTTTCGGGCTTGTGTCGAAGTGCGCGCTGAAATTGCTGTCAAACGCATGGGATGGTGTGGAAAAGAAATAGTTCGCAGTAGACCAGACCTAGGTTTTAGGCACATTTAAGGTGCCCCACGCAACGGGGAAAACTACGTGCGCATGACCAAGTTACAAGTGCCCGTAGGGCATCGTCCATAAGCCGCTTCCTCCGCAGATTCAGAACACATGAAACATGCGAAAGCAGCCCAAAACTGAACACTTTTAATGAGCTTTCCAACAGTAGATGTTCGGGTTCCTATCAAAGCCTCCTTCGAGATGCTGTGATCCCAAAACCTCGACCCTCTTCGGACTCCCTGAGCTCTTAAGTGTTTGTTGGCAATGCAAGCGCAGAACTTTGTTCCAGCGCCCAGCGGCAGGACACTTGTAGCATAGATCCTTTAATTATGAGAGGATGGCATATTCATATTCTTGTCCTATGCCACTCCTCTGACCTTGGCAAATGCTTCGGCCCTACTGGCTCAAAACGGCGTCTCGGGGGCGGCTGGGTGAGAGGGCGTTTGCATTTTCCTGTTTCGAGAGCTCAGTTTCATCGTCAGCTAAGCAGCCGCGTGTGCTTCTTTTCACGTGGGCTTCCATTCTTGCTTCCCTGCCTCGGCGGCCACATCCACCGACGCCAGAAGTCGTAAGGTCTCTCCTAGTCCTTGCGTCGTCCCTGCTCAGGGATCCCTACTTGGAGCCTGACGAGCTCTGTGTACCTGGAATGTGTGTGAAAGCTCAAGGAGTGCCTGTCCCATACCACGGGCTAGCATGTCAAGGTCAATGTCGGAATGGGTTCTAACCTGGCGCCTGCTGGGTGTTCAGCACCCTCTGTCGCGGCCTTAGGAGTGCTTGTGCAAATGAGCAGCTTCTCGGCTTAGGCACCCACTCACGGTATTCCGCTGAATATAGGTTGTCAAGCTGTAAGCGAGCCCACCCTTTTCAGGCCCCTTCGTTTGCATCCTCATGAGCCCGAGCCTGAAGAGAAACAAGGAGTTGCCCAGGAAGAGATCACTCTCCTGAGTTTGTTTCGGAAAAGGCGGAAGGAAATGCTCGGACGCTACTTGTTCAGTCCTTCTTGGCAAAGAGATCTGGGGGCTTATCAAGCTTTTCCGCACCCTAAACACTACAGTCACCTAATGGGGCTCCCTGCGGACATGGTACTGCAGAAAGAGGCATAAAATGGCCCTAAAAACACTACAGCCACGACGGCCCAAAGTGGCCTAAGCACCAAACCATGCCAAACCTGTCGGCTCACTTGGCTGGTCCCGTAGTTCAAGAGTGTCCCAAGCGCCTACACCATCCTACACTTCCAAAACCCGAGAACCCCAAAAGGAGCAGCTCAGATTGCTTTCGCGAGTTCGAAGCCTGAGGCGATGCTTCGGGCTGTTGAACGGCCTGTCGCCTCGGTTCTTTACACTTGGCAGACGAAAAGGGTGTCTCAGCCCAGCTCATTGCGAATTGCTGGTAGCCAGAGTCTGCAAACTGCTTGCGAGCTCTTGCCCACAAGGGGACGTCAACAGGCCCGAGAAGACATGCTTTGTCTTCGATATGTAGACTCTGAGCCGAGCCAGGTAGAGTTTGCCGCCATCCTTAGAGTCCTTTAGGGTAGCTGGAATGGTTAAACCCTAAACCCTAAACCCTAAACCGTGGAGACCGGCCCCGTCTATCAAACTTTCCTCTTTGACTAGGGCTTCATGCGTTCGGGGAGGCAGCTTTGCTCTCAGCCAGGCAGCTGAGCCCTGTGGGGTATGTGGCAAAGCAGTGTTTTGTGGTCAAGAAAGGCTTGAAAGGCTTCAGCAAGCTTCAGCTCATGTCAGCAAATTGCAGTATGTGACAGTATGTGTGTATACAAGATTCGGAGCTTGGAAATTCTTGTCATGATGACTTCCAGGTTTGGCTGAAAAATTCCCCGTCTAGCTTCAGGCAGCTTGTACAGGTGTGATTACATCACCCAGACCGCGGTCGCTACTGCAACCTGTAGCCTGATGTTTTCGCCCTTCGGCGCACGCTGGCTGCTGGCTCAAAGTGTACTGAACCTGCTCACAAACCGTGGTCAGTAGCCTTGCCAGCCTCCACTTGGCCCTGCTCCTGAGCCACCATCCAATCCACACCTGTCAAGGCACGACCCACCTTGGCCGCGTAGTTCGTTATCAGCTACCTTTCAGTATCACCTCAGCAATCGAAACCATACGGTATCACCCTGCTCCTGGCCCTGCAGCCCACAATGTTAGCTCGAGTTTTTGTCCTACGGAGCTCCGCGCAAAACCTCAGGGTGCGAGAAAATTTTGTCGGAAGTCCCGCGAGAGCGCGAAGTGAAGAACACCTTCTTTGCAGCCATGACCTTCTTCGACTGGTGGGGCTTCCTCGGGCGGGGGCCTTTTTGGCTTCCGAGCAGCGAGAGTTCATAGTGCAGGAGAAGTAGAAGCGCCACCCTGATCACAATATGGAGAAGATTCCGAGCCAATGCCCAGCGATGGCTGTTCAATCCAGCCGTCGCAGCATGTACAGCGCACAAATCCGCAGTTTCTGGAACGGAGCGTGCTAGACCAAGGACAGGCGTCCAGAGCATTTTCGCATGGATGACCTTCAATCGAGATGGCTCGAAACCAAGTTCGCATGTCTGCATCCTGTAGCACTGTACCGGACCCGGACCAGGCGAGAGGAAGACAGACTCTGCTCACCTTCATAAATTAGATTTCCGCTACTTTAACTGTCTTGGATAGTGCACCACCCCGTGAAGTGCCCTCTTAACTTATAAAACCGTGGGCTCTGCAACAGTCTGGTAGGAAGGAGCCTTCTAAGATTCTAAGACCTACACTAGATTCACTAGATCCAGAACCAAGGCTTTGCAGACAACGTAACGTGGCGTCAGGCGCAGAAGCCCGGCGCGTGGTGGGTTCTGCTTAAAAGCGACTGCATCATTGGATAATCTTGGGTGCCCTGGCCCATGTGCTTCAGTGCTCATTGCTGAATGGGCCTGTGCGGCAAAAGCGCTTCCTTGAAGAAGAAGGCACATGACAAGGTGGATGCATCAAACTGAATTCGACCCTCGCCACCTTTAGCCGAGGTACCAGCAGAAGAACTACAACATCAGTTGGACCGGCGCATGCATGCAGGGGCAGTGCCGGGGACGGCTACTGATCCGTCAGACAGACTGCATTCCGTTACATTCCCGGTCTTGTCCTGCAACCAAACATTGAGCAGTATTACTTGTGATTTTGAGAGTAGCGAACAGGGCCGAATGGAATCCTTGACAGTTTTAACATGAGAGCACTCCTCGGCCCTTTCTGGTAATGGGACGGAAATATCTCGCTCGCGCCCCAACCTCTTCTCGGCTTCTACTCGGATCTTGCGAGGATTGCCATCGCCCGCGACGACATACGCGATATGTCTGATCCCCAGCCAGTGGATGTCTGGTTGTCACAAGTTGCTCGAAATGTTCTGCTGCATCGTGCCCGATACCCACGTCTGCTCAAAACCATCTTCTGCCCTTTTGCTCAGGATGGGGATCTCTGTCAATCGCACCTCGCACGCAACGTAGATTACAGTACCGGGGACAGTGTGTAACAAGCAGAGAAGCATATGCTTTGGGAGTATACACTTCAGACAACTGCTCATCGCTTTCCGTTCTGCCTGTCTAAATTGCTTTGAGATATCGAGATGAGGGGTGCATGTGTCTCTGGCATGAACCAGCACAGGCATCAACAACTACATGATCGTCGCCACACTTATTCTGAGCGTGGCTGCAGGCCTTGTTCCATTTCTTCAGTCGCTGCTTGCGAGGGCAGCTGTGACAGATCAGTTTGAGTCTTTGCAGGTTTGCGCGCCGTAGGGTAATGTCCGGGTAGCCACGTGATGAACAAACCATGAGGAACTTGTCTCAGTGATTGCTGGTCGGTGAGAACGCGTGGAAAGGAAAGAACCCGGTTGTCCATTCGAGGCATCTAGAATAGTGAATAGTGTATCCAACCCAGTCAGTCACCGTCGTACAGCAGCTGCATGCGGCCTGACACTGTGGCAGGCTCGATCGTCAGCGTTTCTTTCAGCCCGGACTGCGCAAGTCTCAGTGGTCCCTGTGAAAGGCGTGGCAAGACTTTTCCAGGGCTGCACTTTGGATCTGAGGTCCGGCCTTCGTGTGCTTTGCTTTCTACCTCAGCACCAGCATTTCAGTGATTTACTTGATGTTGCCAGCATCTGAGCCATTTGTTAAAGGCTGCCTGTGACTCCACATGCCAGTTTGTGATTCAACTTTGAACTCAGCGATTCAGACATGTAATGTAGCTGTGCTGAATTCGGTACTGGCAAGTATGGCTCTCGCCTGAACAACCGAACGGCCTTGGCTAGATTCCGACTGTCAGGTCCATCATGTTCGGTGTGAAGGGCCAGAACTCGGCCTTCACAAACACGATGAAGCTGCTGACCTACCAGGCGAAGGGCAATGCGAGCACGCATCCAGACAAGCTGCAGTCGCTTAGAGTCGTCTGAGGTTATGTCATGTCAATGTGTCTTCTTGATTGCCTGTGGGCGTGGCCACGGCAGGTTCGCCCAGAAAACCCGGCAGAGTACAGCCACGACTACATGAAGCAGGCGCACATGAAGCGCACAAGCTGACCGAGTACTCACAGTGGCGGCTTGATGCTTCCACGGCTTCTGAGTGGTATTGCCTTCGAGGCTGAAGCAAGGACTCAAGCAAAGCTGCACTCAGTTGCCTGGAGTTCCCAGGCCCAGTGGGTCGAGCGAAATGGTCTGGCGGCTCTCTTCCGTATCCCGGGGCCCGAACCCCAGGGGGGGAACTTCGCTCCACGTCGCAACGCGTCGGGCCGCTGCGTTCTCCGAGGATCATGCCCTCCTACAACACCGATGCCCAGAAGGAGCAGTTGGAGTGATGTGTGACATTCGCCCACACAATGGGGGCGCCGGGCCACAAGCGGGTTCAGCCTTGCTGGCACCGAGGTCTCGTGCCGCCCAAAGGCTTAGAGTCTTAGAGTTGCCAACCCCTGAAGGCAATACCCAGGCTCTGAAATGCCCCCCCCGAGTCGGAAGCTAGCCTAAAACTTGTGTTAGTGCTGATGTCCATTCTCAATCACAAGATCATCAGAGGGGCGATTGCCATCATTCATTAGATGCCCCGTTGCATACATCCCTCACGGTTTCCGGGCTTGAGTAAGAACATATATCGGGTGCTGGTACTGTAGCTTACTAGTTGAAAAGTTCGGTGCAACACACCCAGCCATCTAAATCCAGATGGCTGCCGGTAAGGGTCACATACAGGACAAGCTCAAGAGCATCACGGAGCACATGGATGACTTCGCCGAGCGAGAAGGCCCGGGGCAGTGCAGTACTACAGGGTTCATGCTCACTGATGAAGCCGGACCATGCCAAAGGTGGAAAGGGCCTGAAAGCACGTGGCAAGAAAAAGAAGAAGCAGGCCCATGTCGCGCGAGTTGTATCGCGCCGTGTCTTCTGCCAATGTTGGCCAAAGCCTCTTTGCAGAGACAGATGCGAGGAACACCTTGGGAGTCCCGCGCATGAGCCGGACGACTATGATGACGACGGCGAGAGGGGGGATCTGGGCAGCAGTCTTGCTGATGTTCAGCTCCGAGCGCAAAATCTGTTGCCAGATGATCTCGTGAACCTGGAGGAGGCGACACCTCTGGAGCTGGAAGCTTGGGGACAGTTGCACTCATTCTACCAGTCTACCATCTCTGTTCAACTCTCTCCCTCCCTGTCTCCCTCTTTTTGCATCTCTGACTCGTTCTGCAACGGTCTCTCCGTTGCTCCCGTCGTGCTTCGCCGGTCACTGAGTGATCTCTCCACATTTCTAAGGTCGTCATTCAATCTGTCTAATTAAAAAGCTTGCTGCCCCGGCTGTTGAGACGTCGCAGTCTCTGATCCGGTGGTTGCCACAGCCGGCATGGCTTGGATCTCGAAGTTTGATGGCCGAAGCGTGGCGCTCTTGCAGCTTCAGTTTCAGTTCTGTCACTGCGCGATTCCATCTTCCAGGTCTCTGGTCATGCGGCGTGGTCCTGAGAGCAGCAAGAGCTGACTTCTTTCCAAATCCTCACCCAACTCATTTTCCTGCACCGTCTTGCATCGTGGAACCGTGATTCGACGTATAGTTCCTGTACAGCCGAGACTTTGACATCCTCTGCTCTAAGCTGCTGGCACAGTGTAAGCTGTTCGTGATATTAGCTGATTTATTCTTTTTCTAGCGTTGGCAGTCGTCGTTGCCGTGCCTTGATCGCTAAGGACTTCCCACACGTGGTACCTTACGAAGTTTGCAGAGCCACCTGGCAAGGAAAGGACGGCAGTCATGCCTGCAGATGCCTGGACTCTTGCTGGGGATTTGTTGTCCAAGCTATTCCCAAATCATCAGCGAGGTTCATGAGGCTGTGGCACCCATATGTCAGAATCTCAGCTTGCTGTTGCTGCGAGGGCAGACAGTCATCTATAGTCATCTTGCTTGACAGTGAGCCTCACACCTAAAGATTTCACGCCATAGTTCATCCAGACGGAAGCTGAGTCTTCGCTCTGTCCTGTTTGGACGGTTTACCATGGCCTTGAGCATTTCTCGGATTGGAGCCTGTAAGCAAAAACCCTGTCGGCCAGTGCCCGAGGCTGAAGTACAGCTTGGCTCATGAGGTAGGTCCCAGCAACTAAGATAAGGCCTTGTCAAAGCTCTCGGAGCACCATCGTTCCAGGATTAAGCTCTCGAGCGAAGGCTTGTTAGACCGGCAACCATGCACACGTCATATCATTGCCAGGATGGTGCGGGATCTTTGTGCTTGCACACATCGCTGCTTGAGGACCTTTACTCAAAGTATGCCATGGGTCTTGGCATTCTTTGTCTTAAGCTCAGCTGAGCTGCCTGCCTTGGCTCTTAACGGAGTCCTACCTGTGAGATTCTTGTTCGGTCATCGCAGGCCACGGGTTCTACGCGCCACAGCTACGTCAGAGCAAAGCTTGCTTCACAAAGGTCTTGGCCACAGCAGCGCCTACTTCGCACTGGGATATCTTGCTGTGCAAGGCGTGCACTCAGCGGCCACGGCACTCGAATCGATCGGAGCTCTGCGAGGGATGTGAGTCTCTCAGCCCTGCATCAGCTGCATTGCAGATTATTCGCTCAGCGAGTATGCCGCAGCGATTGTCACACTCGCCTTCATCCTCATGGCCCAGAGCTAAGCGAAGAGCTCTTCCAGAGCATTCTAGAGCTCTCAGCCGTAATCTGAGCCTCGAGGTGGGACTCATCATCAACAGCAACTTCCGATCAGGGAGCACTCACTTGCGCCGGGTCCCTGGTTCACAAATCTTGAGCCAAATCAGTTGAGCTTGGAAGTTACGATCATGTAGGCCTACTGCTTCGCCGGCAGTGAGTTGCCCACTGGCGGCATGTCAGGTCTCCTGGTCGTTCTCACGGTCTCTCTTGCACCAGGCGCGAGAAAGATTATGCCTGCGCGCCAGTGACAGTTCAGCAGCTTACCAGTAGCTCCACAGCCGGGAATGGAAGATGATTTCAAAGCTGCGAAGTTCAGATGGCAAGTCGGAGCCTGCAGACAGGCTTCACAGCACTTCGCACTGGCCTCTTCCCCGCAGCCCGGCCCCAACCCTTTCCCCAAAGCATCATCTTCGTGCTGTGCCGCTATGCATGTCAGAATGCGGTAGTCGTTCTTCGCCGGAGGCTGCTCAACTGTTGCAGCGGTGACAACCAGCGAGGCGACGCGTGGACAGGGGCTGGTTGTCAAGGTGACGGTTCGTGGATTGATTCGAGTTCTCGACCCTCCCATTAAGGGTTCTTGGAAGTAGTTTAACTTTTGGCGCTGTCCGTAATGTGGTGAAACAGGCGTTTAGCCTGTGATTTCAGCTTGGCTGGATCCCATCTTCTCCTCCGAAACAAGAACTCTGCCCACAGCCATTGCCACCGGCAGGTTGCCCAGCAGATCCTGGTGCCGTCTGCCTTCGCAGCTCACTTCCTCTTCTGGATGTTGGTCTACGTCTTCGCTTTGCGCGTGCAGGACCCCTTTTCGCATTTGATATCATTGGATTGTGAAGGGCCTTCAGGCCTCTGCGACATCTGCGACAGACAGACGGGCAGACGGGCTGACGGAGACATACCGATAGAGAGTGTACGTCGTGCCCGCTCCGCGAAAGACCTTGAAGGCGCGAAGCTTTGAGAGGGTGCATCCGTTGTGAAGAGAGCCAAGGCCGCCAAGGGTGACATTGATCATATTAATAATCGTAATAGTATATAATATAAATTAAGGTTATGAATATATTAAATTTAAATAAAATGAATTGGTGGTCCTCATCTTCACTCCTCACTCCTCTCTCTCCCCCAGAGGCGGCGTGAGACCAGGCTCTGTCCCAGGTTGAACTGGCAGGTATTCCCAAGGCCCTTTGGGTGTTCTCCTAGAGCTGATTGAAGCGCAAAAGCCTCTCAGACTCATGCAGGTCAAAGCGCCTGCGAAACACGAGAACTCGTTGCATACCGCTATGCGCGGTGTCCCAGATCCTCATACACCAGTGTGAGCCGTGACAGGAGTCGGACATTCACTTCCACCGACCTGGCCTGGTTCTCAGGGTCCTTGCAGGGATCCAGTGCAGCGGGGTCGAGCACGGGAGTTCAGCCATAGACTCGTCGTAGGTGTAGGGATCAAGAAACCCTACCACCAGCTGCTCACCGTCGATTCGGGATTCGGCACTCGACAACTCAAGTCTTCTTTCGTCAAGACTGGATCTCACGCGCGGCAAGGCGAGGGATTCTGGGGAAGCTCGGCAGCAGTTGGTGATGCTCAATTCCGGCGGTGAAATTTGGGGTTCAGCGTGCTCAGCGTTCCAGGCTTTACTTTGACCAGGGCTTTTCAGGACACCGAGTGTAGCACATTCGCGTCCGGGCACACTGAATGCATCGTACAGGAAGCAACAGGACGCCAGAAAAAAGGGAATAAGCGTGGACGTGCTGGCCTGGTAGTCATTGTCAGACTGATCTAAGATATCTCCTGCCTGACACACCATTAACAGGATCGCACCATGGCTCCCCGGAGGACGGGTTTGTTGCACAGCTGGCATTCTGACGTTACTCAATTTCCATCACTGCGCAGGCCCACCCGGACTGGACAGCAACAGAATCGGCGACAGACCTGGAAAGTGGGCAGCTGCCATAGCTGTCTCTTCGTACTTTCTCTGTGTCCGTGTGCGTTTGTGTGTTTGTGATTTCTTTCTGCAAAGGCCTTGTCGAACGATTCTGGGAGTGGAGCAGTCTTTACTTCCCAGGTCGGCACAGTCGCTGCGCCGCAGTGCTACCTGCGCTGCTGATGCTTCGATGCAGGCCTGTTTCCTCCACACCCGCTTGCATTTGGAGTTGTGACGGTATTATGTGCCAGAATGTGAGAGCCAGTTCAATTTCGGCTTTGCGTGGGGCTTGCATAGAGGCCTGATGTCCTGTGAGCCTCTATGCGTGTATCGAACGTACATGTCCGGGAGATTCACAAGTTCGGACACCCTTGTGTTCTAAGGTAACAGGCCGTGCTGCACCCAGAAGGCCTGAGACTCAGATGAAAAAAGAGCTGCGTGTGTGAAGGTGAGCACGTGGTATGGTAAAAGGTTTCTCAGAGCATTGTAGTTTGTTTCGGAGTTTGAAGGCTTCCTGGATTACGTCAGACACATTTGCATGCAGATGTACGCCGGCTTATAGGTTGCTGTTGTTGTCATCATTGGTGGTGGTGTTGCTGTTGTTTGCTGGTGCTGGTGTTAGTGCTCTCACTGTTACTGCTGCCAGGCTGCTGCTGCGGCTGGTTGCTGCTGCGGCTGCTGCTGCTGGTGGTTGTTGCTGCCTTGGTTGTTCCTTCTGCTGTTGTTGTTGTTGTTGGTGGTGGTGGTTGTGTCGTTGGTTGTTCGGTTGTTTGTTGCTTGTTGTTTGTCGTTTGTTGGTGTGAGGCTAGGTGGTTTCTCCTTTTTTGTGTTTTAGTTCTTGCTGTTTGTGGTTGTTGAGTTTGTTGTTTGCTGCCTGTGGTGGTGGTGGTGGTGGTGGTGGTCATCGTCATCATCGTCGTCATGGTTGTGATTGTGGTTCTGGCTTTTGTTGTTGTTGTTGTTGTTGTTGTTGCAGTTGCCTTCGTCGTCGTCGTTGTTAGTGTTTTCGCTGTGAGTAGTGTTAGGACTTGTAATTTTTCTTCTGGTTCCTGGTCTTCTGTTGTCGTCGTCGTCGTTCTTGGTGTTTTTTTAATTCATTGTCGTTGTCGTTCGTATTCTTAATATTAGAGTAGTATTCTGGATCTTTGTTTCTTCTTCCTCTTGTGTTGCTGCTGCTGATGCTAGAGTTGCAGCAGCAGCTGCTGCTGCTGCTGCTGCTGTTGCTGTTGTTGTTGTTGTTGTTGTTGTGGTTGTCATTGTT